TAGCGCCACGTAGCGAAAAGAAGAAACGACTGGCGCGCTGTTGTTAACTCGGCTATAATCGCGTAAGCGGTGTCTACGCCAATCAAGAAGAAGAAGAATTGATATCGAACCACCGATGTAAAATTTCTTCGGCAATGTCATTTTCGTTCGTATTCTATAATTGGCGCGGCTTTGAAGGCTGATATATCGAAACGATTATCGCGAAAAGTGTGCGAACTTTATTTTCATTGCAGTGATTAACATGTTCCAGCAATTGTAATTGCTGGCTTACATCTCCAAAACTACAGAGCGTACCGTTCACTGTACGCAATGAATCAAATAAAGTTGAACCGCGTATATTAATCAAAAGAAACCGAAGATAGAAACAATCGTCGTTTTTCCGGTGAATTGTGTAAGTTCATCCTAATGCATTAGCTGTTCTGTATTCTCTGGGTTGAAATACAATCTTTTCCCATTCTCTTAATTAACGCACAACAGTCGGAAAACATTCATGAATTGCAAAAGTAAATATCCTCCCTTTTGCCACTCAACAGAGTACATCTAGCATCTAACAGCACAACATATAATACGTTGCTTCAAGATAAAGTCCATCGTAGCTGTTGTTTAGAAAGTAGTGCTGCCACAACGTGACGGTCACTTGCTGATTATGTCGGTATGTCCCCGCATCCTGGGAGTACTTTTTGTCTTGGCTTGTCTTGGGCTGTATAATAATTTTTCTTTTGAATAGCCGGAATAAAAAAGCAAGCGACCGAAATGGAACGATTCAAACAACTTACAAATCAAAATATTAAAAAACAGAACAAACAAAAACGAAAAAAAACATGTGTATGGAAAAAAGTTACTTTTTGGAATTAAATTGGATAATTCCAAAATACCGATATACCGACTTTTCCACACGAAAAGCATAAGGTATTTTTATTTCTACACCTTCCTCGATCCACTACGAACAACCTCTGAAAACTTCATCAAGATTGGTGCAGCCGTTCTCTTAGCGTCACTAACAAACAAACATTCATTCATATGTATGGGAAAAAGGAAAGGGCTGTTTTCAGGGGTTTTCCGCAATTATTCGAATTTTTCTTGCCGTAAAAACCTTTCTTGAACCTCAACGAACATTAAAAAAAAAGAATTTGCAATATTGGTCCAGGCGTTGTTGAGTTATGCGCTTAGCGACACATTTTGCGATTCACTTTTATATATAAGATAAGATTACATTTATTTGTACAGATAAATTTGAAAGTGTTTGATATAATATTCCTGATATGTAATAAGCGTAGATGAACTTAAAATCTAATGCCAAATCCGTTGGAATCATTGGTACATGAGGAATAAATACATCCTCTCATTTGTATTTCGTCTTGATGACCTTGCCTTAATGAACAAGCTTCTACAGCCGATCTGCAGGTCGTTAATTGGATTTTCTTTACGTGCCGCTACAGATTAGTTGATTTTTGGCTCAGCGAGTCGAACTGATCAAGGAATAATAGAAAAAGTCTAGCTAAAATCATCTGACAATAGAATAATGGCTCCATCAAAAATGTTTTGATTGTTAAGTTAATCTTTTAAGGTCCTATCCAGTGCCTCGAACGATTTCTTGAGAGCCATTCGCCCCAAAATAATCAAAGGAGCTGGTGCAACGTTTTTTGGCGGCAACTTGATTAAAAACTGAATTA